CTGTGGCAAGGTGAAGCTTGGAAGTCAGGGAGGGCCAGACCCTTGGCTCACGTGGGCTGCTCTTTGTACCATATTCTCTTTCAGGAGGGTCCTGCTAAATTATCAGTAGTTTTTTTTTTTTTTTTGCGGTATGCGGTACACGGGCCTCTCACTGTTGTGGCCTCTCCCGTTGCGGAGCACAGGCTCCGGACGCGCAGGCTCAGCGGCCATGGCTCACGGGCCCAGCCGCTCCGCGGCATGTGGAATCTTCCTGGACCGGGGCACAAACCCGCGTCCCCTGCATCGGCAGGCGGACTCTCAACCACTGCGCCACCAGGGAAGCCCTATCAGTAGTTTTGCTCCTGGGCAGTTCTTTGTTCCTCTCTAGGGGTCTCAGGCCTAACCTCTGGATGAATTGCTTGATTCAGAGAAGTGACATATTGAACATTTTATCCTCCCATTAATTCACAAGGTACTTTCTTACCTTTTGTTTCCTGCTTGCGTACAAACTGGGAATAAAGCTTCTGGGCTTCTGGTTCTAGGAAAGAGTGGCACATGGCAGGTACTCAGATATTAGGTGAATGAGAAAGGGAGGGAAGGGGGTAATTAAACGCCTGCTGTGTGCCAGGCAGTGTGCTTGGCTATTAGAATTTCCTAACCCACCTACTCCTTACAGCAGCCCTGTGAAGGTGGTGACTGTGAATATTCCCATTTGGGAAACAAGGAAAAATGAGGCTCAGTGAGGATGAACAGGTTGTAAAGTGGCATACCTAGTTGAGCTGCCGGTTTCAGAGTCCGTTCTTGCGACCGGTCTGCCACACTGCCTCTCAGAGGGTAACAGAGTGAGAGGACAGGGAGCAGGGTGTGCGGCAGCCTGTTCCCCAGGCGGCCAAGTCACAGTGCAGAGTATGGCCTTGGTGACTTGTCCCCAAGCACACTGGAAGGAGGTTTCCTGAGACTCCTGCCTCTCCTGGATTCCTACAGCCACATGTTGGCTGCTTCTGACCCAGCAGCCAGCTGCAATATGATCTGCTGTCCTTAGCCAGGAGAGCAAAAATGAGGGATGGTGTCCCCCCAGGCCCCTTCTCCCAGACCCCCAACCCCTGACACCCTGGCAACAGCCAGGAGAGAGGGTTGACCCCGTGAATGGAGTAGGAGCGCCGATGGTTGCCTGGGTCCAGCCCTCCTGGTAAAAGTAGAGAGAGGTAGAAGATCACCATCTCTCTTACCTGGTGGGGAACTTGTCTACAAAGGAGATGTTTCTAAGATGCTGCTGAAGATTGCCTGAAAGCAGCTGGTTTCCACCCCCATACTTGCACCCATTCCAGAATGCTGCTTAACAGGACTGGGAAACTCATGTGCTGAAATGATGTGAAAACACCCCATCCTAGAACTTGTAATAGCTTGAGTTAACTTTCTAGCTATTGGGGTCGGGCGGAAAAGCCATTGCCCTCACTTGTATGCAACTTGGGCTAATTTTAAGTAGTTCCAGAAGGTGTGTGTGGTTGGAGGGCCAGTGTTGTCCGGAGCCAGGACCAGTTACATGGGGATTGTGATTGGTTGAATTTGGGGAGGAGAAGCTTGTGGCCAGATTCCAACCCGCTGACAATCTAAGCAGATTCTAGGAGGTCGGGCAGGCATGGTGGGCGTTGGCTTATTTTATTCCTGAAAGAGGCCCTCAGTAACTCAGGAAGGTGGAATCCTGCCTGAGAGGCTTCCAGCTGACCTGGCCTTTTCCTCCTTCCGCCTCTGCTGCATGTTTACACTTGACATAAACATCACAGAGCACGCTCACGGCTGAAAGTTCTGTAGTCTGCTGTGATGGTTACACATGGACATTGTGATGCTGTGTAGCATTTCATTTTCAAGGCTTGGGGAGCCTCCTACTTCATATGGGTGGGAATGGGGAGGCATTTTGGGCAAGTCGCCATCTTTTTATTGTCCCAAGAGCTTGGTGAAGCATTTGAACTTTCACCTGTCAAAATCACTTTTGGAATGAGGACAGCTTCTTAGAACAGCAGAATGAAAGTATCATTTATCCCGATGAGACCTTAATGGGGGCTTTCCCATTTGGACGCCCACCTTGAATTCATTGGAAACAGAAGTTCTGGGCCTTGTATGTTTCATGAATTTGGCTCAGACTTTTACTGGGTCATATTTCCCCCAAATCTTTTTGAAAAAGACTCATGTCTCATTCCTTTAAACCAACATGTGTAAGCTGGGTAAAAATAGAGCAAACTGGTTTCACGTTTTGATTTATGGACGAAATCTGCAAGTTTGCCTTCGAAAAGCATTTAAAACATAACTCGGGGAAGTTTGAGCTTTGCAGACGGATGCCTGTGGCTGGATGAGACTCTGACCTGTTCAGATTCTGCCTGGTGCAAGACCAGACGTGGCCAGGTCCACCCCTTACCCGGATTAGCAATAAGCATGCACACGCTCTGCTTCTCCCCCCATCTCCCCTCACCCTTCTGAAGACTGCTCTTCTCCCCTTAGGCTGAATAAAGGAAACTGGCATGGAAAATGGTTTGACGTGGAATTTTTTTTACCATCGGTAGGTAGTAACTCAGTAATCAATAGCACTTTAAAGACACACTCGTAACAGGACATCTAATCCTAAAATTTCAGGCACAGTCAAGGACTGTCAGCTGGTCTAGCAGAATGAATTCCTTGGATACCTGTATTCTGTGCAGGGGTTCAGTGTTTCGTGTGCATCACCACTCCTTTGACCACAGGACCTCAGGAGCAGTGCTGGCTTCATGGTTGCACGACCCGGGCAGCTATACAGAGCCCTGTGCTCAGGGGGGTTCTGTGTGCTTGGTTTAATGCTCTGCTGTTGCCATCTTGAAATTCTTAATACTTTTTGGACAAGGAATCCTGTATTTTCATTTGTCACTGGGCCCCGTGAGTTATGCAGACAGTCCTGCTTAATAGTTAGTTATACAGTTCATTATGTAGAAAATCCCTGGACACCTGAACTTTGAATGAGGATTTCTCGAAGTTAGTGTGTCTGACCAACCAGTTCATGATAATCTTTATGCTATCCAGTTTTACGTGATCAAGTTTTGTTATGACTGACCTGCAACTGTGAAATTACCTTTGATTTCTGTGGGTTTGGGTGTGGGCTTTTAGGAGGGTTTTTTTTCCTTATAAGAGGACATAACAATAAACAGGTTGATTTAAAAAAAAGCCCCACCCTTTCAGTATTGAATGGCATGCCATTTACTCCTTAACAGCATGTGAGTTTATTTTTCATGTGGTTGTAGCTGGGTTTCATTAAGTGCAGTTTTGACGTGTGTTTAACCAACATTCAGGTGGCTTGCGGTGGGTGGGTGGGAGGGAGGGACAGGGCGTGGGGAGCTGCAAGATGAAGAAGGCTTAGTTACTCCCTGTCAGGAGCTCGCATCCCTGGAGTGGGGGTGGGGGGGAGGCTGAGGAATGAATGGTTGTTGTCATGAGAGGACCCTGGTGTGGTTACACAGAGGCTGGTGGGAGTGAAGTGCACCATCTGTTAGATCTGGCCCTTGAATGATTATCTGGGGTTTGTCCTGCAGGAGGATGGGGTGAAGGGCCTTGTCATCGTGGGGAATACAGAAGAGGTGGAGAAGTCCAGGGGGTTCACAGCAAGATGTGCTCCAGGAGTGAGGAGTCTGGAATGTGAAATGTGGTGGGTGGCAGTGACAAGGGTGGAAAAGCAGGCCGGGTGGAGGTTGTGTAGGTCTCTCAAGGTGCTACATGTCTAGAGAGTTTAACCCTGGGCAGCAGGGACCATTGGTGAATGGGGAAGCACAGGGATACCTGACTAGAAGGATGGTTCTCAGGTTATGTGAACAATGATGGAGCTTCATGGCTGTTGAGGAAGCAGAGAGGGGAGGAGGGGCCACATATTTTGGGGGAGAGTGTAGAAAAGGATTTGCCAAGAGGTAGGGAGAGAATTGTTGTGGGAACTGCTCCAGGGCTTTGGAGGAGGAGTCTAAGATGATTCTGACATTTTCACCTTGGGGTCCTGGCAGAATGGGGGGTTGTAACAAAGGTTGTTTAGGGTGTAGGAAATGGAGAGACAGGGAGAAAGACAGATATCTTGGAGATAATGTTTGAATTTTGATGGGTGTAGATGGAGATTGGAAAGAGGACAGAGAGCCACAGGGAAGCCAAGGGGAGTGGGAAGTAGAAACCAGTGGCAGTGAGAGTTCCAGAAGGGGCTGGCCAGTGGCAGGGCATGTCCTGTTAAGCTGGGGGATGACTAGAAAAGGGGCCATGCCTTTGGCCAGTCACTTATCCTCCTGGCAACACTTTGCCCAATTAGATTAGCTTAACTGTTAGTTAAGCTAACTAACAGTCTTCTTTTATGAATGACTAACTTGTCAGAGAAATGAGATGAAAATGATTGATAACACCCAGTATTTGTGAGATCTGAGGGAAAATGACTTCTTAAACATGTAGATGGGGGTGTAAACAGAAACAACTTTTTATAGGGAAAAGATATCTAGGACATAGTGATTAGTGAAAAGAAAGATTTCAAGACTGATCATATAGTATAATATAAATTATATTATAGTATAATATACTATAATTTATAGTATAATATAAATTCCGGCAGCAAACACATACACATGTGTGCACACGATCTGGTAGACAGTATACTGCCAGGTTAACAGGTGGTTATCTCTGGAATGCAGCCACCTCTTGTTACTGTCTATATTTCTGAAATGATTTCTTGAAATTAAAAAAAAACTCTTATTATGGAAAATTTCAAATGCATGTAAAAATAGAGACAGTGGAATAATGCGTTTTCATGGACGTATAATCCAATGACACTGGTTAACAACGTTTTGGAATCTTATTTCATCTCTTCGCATCCTTAAGTATTTTGAAGCAAATGCCAGCATTGCATCCCTTCGCTCTCATATAGCTCAGTGTGGTTCTCTAACAGTTGAGGACTCCATTTACTTTCTTACAAAGAATGTGATTCATACCTGTGCAACCCAGAGGCTTGACCAGGCCTGTGTCTCTCTGCTCAGACAGCAAAGCCATCGTGGATGGGAACCTGAAGCTCATCTTGGGCCTGGTGTGGACGCTGATCCTCCACTACTCCATCTCCATGCCTGTGTGGGAGGATGAAGGGGACGACGATGCCAAGAAGCAGACGCCAAAGCAGAGGCTGCTGGGGTGGATTCAGAACAAGATCCCCTACTTGCCCATCACCAACTTTAACCAGAACTGGCAAGATGGCAAAGCCCTGGGAGCCCTGGTAGACAGCTGTGCTCCAGGTAAGTGTCAATGGCTGCCTGAGGCATCCCTTCCGGAGGGGTGGGGTATGTGGACCCCTAAACCTCTTGGTTTTTGGTGGGAAAGCTAGGTTTGCTGTGATTGGTCTATTTCTCCTGGTTTTTAGCCCATTGTAAGATAACTAAAGGAACTAAAAATGGCTCCATTTGCCTTTCTGATGGCAGGTCTTATAGGTCTATCCATAGACTTGTTGAATTATTTACGCAAATTCTGAATGAATTTGCCTTCATGCTCGGAGCAGAACTTGAGTTCGGCTTCCAGACCCCAAGTCCTGCTTCTTCTCCCTCTTTCCACAGTTGGTGCCTAGTTTCCCATTGGCTTTAACATGTGCCCTATTAGGTGGTTTGGCATGAAAATCTAAAAACTTATATTGAGTGGAAAGTACCCGTCTTTGTCAACCACTGGGTTGACTATATATGGCTTTCTCTGACCTTTTCTTTCTGCATTGCTGTGAAATAGTGCTTGGTAAGGATCCAGTTGGAGCCTTTTCCACCCTTGATGGGCTCCTCCTTTCTGAGTGGTTGAATGTACACCAAGGTAGTAATTATCCTCACTGGAGGGTTTAGATTGATGGGTAGAGTTTGCTGATACACTCTCAATAGAAAAACCAGAGCCTGTGTTTATGTGCACGTCCAAACTTGTTTTTAATAAAAAATCTGCCCAAATAATCATATTTTCCATTTACTGATTGCTCTGTATATGCTGAGCACGTTGGTATTAAGTAAGCTAGTCGTTCTCAACACGCTCAACTAGCTGGTGTCAACTGGATAGGGAAGGAGGGCTGGCCCTAGGCCCCAGTCTTCCTTGAGAGCCTGTAAGCTGGTGTCATCCAGAAGTAACTCAAAGCTCAGCATTAGTTCATTTCCCAGGGCCCTCTTTCTTGCTTCCATGCAAAGACACATTTTAGGGTGCCTCTTTCCAGTTTAAACCTGGGGATTTTTACTCCAGCCCTATACTTCTTGTGGTTACAAAGATTTTTTGAGATAATTCTAGGTTTAGGCCTTTGAGCAAGTGAATGTTGTAAGTACACAGGATGTTAGTTCAGTCTTCTAGGTACATCCAGGATTGTGATTGTGATATTGTAACTTATAATACGAAATGTATGTTTGGTCTTTGTCCCCTTTCCTGGCACAGAGCTCCTAAAACCCTTGGAATTTACTAAGCGAAAAGAGCTGTGGTAGTGGTGTCGTTCAGCCATGCCTGAGTTTGTTAATGAGGTGACTTTTGGAATGCCCCAAAGGATGGGGGCTGGATGTTGGGGGAACCAATCAGTGATTAGAGGGTTGGAACTTTCTCCCCTGTCCCCTGACCTCCAGGAAGGGGAAAGGGGATAGAGGTTGAGTTAACCACGAATGGCAGGTGATTTAATCAGTCCAGCCTGTGTAATGAAGCCTCCATAAAAATCCCTGAGCTACAGGGGTTGGGGAGCTTCCGGCTGGCGAACATGTGGTGGTCCTGGGGTGGTGGTGTGCCTGAAAGGACATGGAAGCTCCTTGCCCCTTCTCCCACCTTGCCCTATGCATCTCTTCCATTTAGTAAAATCCTTTTATAATAAACCAGTGACCCAGTAAGTAAACTGTTTTCCTGAGATCTGTGAGCCACTCTAGGAAACCATCCAACCTGAGGAGGGGGTTGTAGGAACCTCTCATTAGTAGCTGGTTGGTCAGAAGCCCAGGTGACAAATCTGGACTTGTGATTGGGCTCTGAAGTTGGGGTTGGAGGAGTCTTGTGGGACTGAGCCCTTAGCCTGTGGGTTCTGATGCTGTTTCCAGGTAGATACTGTCAGAATTAAGTTAAATCATAGGACACACAGCTGATGTCAACCCCACACATTTGGTGACCAGAGCACAGAAGTGTGAGTGTGATGTGTCCAAACAATCTCTGCTGCAAAAAGGTACCAGGCCCAAATGGTTTTACAGGCTTTGTTTGTTCATTTATTTACACCACACCCTTAAGGAATGGATGAATTCCTCTCTGAATGCAAGAAGATAACAGCCTGAAGAAGAAGTCTCAGCTCAGGCAGAATAGTTTCTACCTTGGCATACTCATATCTGTGATACTTTTGGCCCATAAAGCATACAGTTCACTAAGATTTTTGGAAGAAACTGTTCTCTCAAGAGACTGAGTGAGTTTAGTTTAGGCACCTGGTTTCCTTTAACCTCTTCAGTCAGTTAATACTAACAGCATCTTTTGTGTGATGTTAACAGGTCTGTGCCCAGACTGGGAATCCTGGGATCCACGAAAGCCTGTGGATAATGCACGAGAAGCCATGCAGCAGGCAGACGACTGGCTGGGTGTCCCACAGGTATGTGTAGAAGCATGCGTGTCCCACGAAGCTCTTTCCCCTGATGCTCTGTGGATGCCTTTGGGTCTGGCAGGCAGTCTGACCTCCTTAGTGGTCAGCTTTCAATGAGCATTGTCTGTGGCTGTCTCCCATCTTCCTCAGTTTACCCATATTAATAGGTTCTCATTGACTTAGGTGCTTGTAGATCCCCTAAAGATCTTCACTGTCACATGTGACAGATTTTCTAGTATTTTTTTAATATTTATTTTATTCATTTATTTATTTATTTGGTTGTGCCTGGTCTTGGTTGCAGCAGGCGAGCTCCTTAGTTGTGGCTCACTGGCTCCTCAGTTGTGGCATGTGAACTGTTAGTTGCGGCATGCGTGTGGGATCTAGTTCCCTGACCAGGGATTGAACCTGGCCCCCTGCATTGGGAGTGCAGAGTCTTAACCACTGTGCCACCAGGGAAGTCCTGAATTTTCTAGTATTTCTGTTCCAAAGATCACAAAGGCCATGTCTGGATGCCAGACTGCAAATGTGGACCTTAACCATAAGAAATTGCCAGTATTTGACCATTTTTAACCTATTAAACATTTTTTTAAATCCAATATCTTCAAGAAAGTCACTTAGAACTTTTTAAGAAGTTTAAACCAGGATAACTCGCCATTAATGGAAAGTGTTTAAGAATTCATATTGCTCATAATCCTAACAAAGGAATATAACAACAGAACTTGGAAATTGAATATGTCTTGGATACCGTCTACAGTAGCCACGTTGCTTAGTTGAGGTCCAATCTTCTAAGCCCTTCCAAGGAGTTTAAATAGCAACCCCTGACACTGTGACTCCCATGTTCAAAGACTCAATCAAGAAAAGTTGTGGGTAGCCAGTGCCAGGGGATGGGTGACCTCATTACAGGCTCCATTAAGGTCTTGAGTTGGTATTCAGAGCTGAGTTCAGTGTATTTGTAACAGGATCCCTTGGGAGGTAGAAAATCTTGCCTATATTTCTTTGGTTTGGTTTTGGCATCATGTCTCTTCTCCAAGGCCCATTCCTTGGCTCTTCTACCCTCAGGAAGTGGTATGATATGTTTTTCGTCTCCCCTTAAACCAAAACCCATCTCCTTTTGGCATTCATGTGATGTTGGCAGTGTGTAAAGTTGTTGAAGGAGCTGCCTAGGAGAAATGCCAAATCAATGTACATCCTACATTTTACAAAACGTATTGGAGGCTACTGTACCAACCCAAATAGCTGTTTTGTTGCTGCAGGCTAATTATCAGAATGTTTCCTCTTTTCTTTTTTACCATGGAGTGGGGGAAGCTGGGTACATATGTTGTTTATCTGCATTTGGTTGACCTGTTCATGAGACAGAGTCTTCTGAGGAGGTGTGGCTTACCTCTTGGTGGCAGGAGAAGTTTTTGTGCTGTTTAGGGCTGGGTCAGCTGGTGGAACTGGGACTATGACACCTTCAGGGAGGCCACCTGTCCAGCACAGGTCAAATCTTGCTCCTAAGCTGAATGTCAGGAGAAAATTTCCCCTTTCCTATTTTTTAAATGGCTTTTAATGTATTGAGACCTGTCTTAACTCAGGCTGCTATAACAGTACCATTGACTGGGTGGCTTAAACAACAGACATTTATTTCTCAGTTCTAGAGCTTGGGAATTCCAAGATCAAGGTGCCAGGAAATACACTTCTTGGTGAGGGCTCTCTTCCTGGCTTGCAGACAGCTGCAAACTGCCTTCTGGCTGTGTTCTTACATTGAGGTGGAGAGAGAGTGAGCTCTGATCTTTCTTCCTCTTCTTATAAGGGCACTAATCCCATCGTGGGAGCTCCACCCTCATGATCTCATCTCATCTAGACCTACTTACCCCCAAAGGCCCTACTTCTTAATACCATCACACCAGGGATTAGGGTTTTAACATATGAATTTGGGGAGGACAAAAACATTCGGTGTATATTACAAGAGCACAGATCTAATATGTCATTGTGTTATCTTTTTGGTTTTATTTTTTTATTAGTAGCTGAGCCAATAGAAATGCAGATAATGGATAAAAGAGCAAAGAAAAAGGCCAGTTTATCTATGCACTTTTTGGTAATATGCTTTAATCCCATGTGTTCTTATTTCTTCTTCCTTACTTGATATAGCTTATCTTTTCTGGAAAAAGGAGTGAGTGGCCTTTTTTTTTTTTCAGGGTGGGGAGGTATGAACCTCTGGAAATTACATATAGAGTTGTCTGGAGAGGGTCCTCAGCTTCCAAAGGGGATGGTGACACTTCTAAAAGGTTAAAAAAAAACAACCGATTTTGCCATGCCAGTTTGATGTAGTTTCACTTTATTGAGAGTAGTGTTTGCTTTAAGAGATTTTGCAAAAACTTCTATAGTTGCAAAGTGATATGTTCTGGGTGTTCATCTACCATGTCGTTATTCTAGGTCATCACTCCTGAAGAAATTATTCACCCGGATGTGGATGAGCACTCGGTGATGACTTACCTGTCCCAGTTCCCTAAAGCCAAGCTCAAGCCAGGGGCTCCTCTTAAACCGAAACTCAACCCCAAGAAAGCCAGGGCCTATGGCAGAGGTAAGCACCGGTCATGTTGGATTTGAGGCTTGTCCTCTAGTCTTGATTATTGAGAATCAAGAATGTATAGGCTTCACGGGCTTCCCTGGTGACACAGTGGTTGAGAGTCCGCCTGCCGATGCAGGGGACACGGGTTCGTGCCCTGGTCCAGGAGGATCCCACATGCCGCGGAGCGGCTGGGCCCGTGAGCCATGGCCGCTGAGCCTGCGCGTCCGGAGCCTGTGCTCCACAACGGGAGAGGCCACAACAGTGAGAGGCCCGCGTACAGCAAAAAAAAAAAAAAAAAAAAAGAATGTATAGGCTTCATACTTAAAGACACCCCAGGCCTCCTGTGTCAGATGTTTTCTACCTAAAGGTCCATTTGTTTATGACCATCTTTTTCTGCCTTGTGAATTTAGGCTTTCAGAAACGCTGCTGCTTTAATGTGATGGAGGCTGATGAGTTTGTTGCTTTGTGACTTGGGTGCAGTAACCCTGGGATGAAGAAAGGACTATTGTTCCCATTTTTCAGATGAGGAATCAGAGGCCCAATCCACAGAGGAAAGGGGAGGTCGGGGTGGAGGGAAGAGGGGGTGGGGGAGGTCCCCCAGATTACCATGGTGGGGTGGGGCAGGAGCCTGGGTCTTCTGGCTGCTGATTCATTTCTCCTTCAGTTATGCTAAAGCTGCTGCAGGTTTCCAGATGCAGTGGGAGCTATTGTTAACCCCTGGCAGATACTTCCTTGCTAAGACATCCTGTTTATGCTCTCCTAGCCAGCTGCCACGGAGTGTTCTGCTTAGACCGTTAGAGTGGGTCAAAGGCATTTTGAGGAATTTGGTTTTCTGGTTGGCACCTGACTTAAAGAGAACAGTTGCATTTCAGCCCAGTGTGGATTCTGGTAAAGATTAGTACAGCAAGATACAATTTGTTCCCTTTTCTGTGGCAAGGGGGAAGAGTGCATTCTATTTCTTCATTTTCATAATTACAGTTAGGATAACATTTACACACACAAAGTATTTTGTATGTCCTCTCCTAGAATCTACAGTTCTTAACATGCTAATGTGGTCTCTCGCCCCATGTGTGTATGTGTGTGTGCATGTGTGTGATTGTTGAATTATTTGAAAATAATTTGCTGGCATGGTAACAGTTCACTCCTCAGTGCGCCAGCCAAGTCTCGTAAGAATAGGACATCCTCTTTTGTAACCACAGTATTCATTATCACACATAAGAAAATGAACAATAATTTCATAACAACTAATATCCAGTTTATATTCAAGTTTCTCTCTTGTCCTACGATTGTCTTTTACAGTTTTTCTCGTTTTACCAACCAAGATCTGATTAAGATTCACTTTCTACATTTGCTTGTTATTTTACCTTAGACTCTTAATCTAGGATAATTTCCGCTTTCTTGTTTTTCTTAAAATGACATTGACTTTGTAAACATCCAGAGCTCTTGTCTATGTACTCATTCCCTTTGAAGATAGCATTGCCCTACTTGGCATCAGCTTAGTCTCTCTTTCTTTCTTTTTTTTTTTTTTTTTTTTGGCATGCCATGAGGCATGCAGGATCTTAGTTCTCCAACCAGGGATAGAACCCATGCCCCCTGCAGTGGAAGCACGGAGTCTTAACCACTGCACCGCCAAGGAAGTCCCAGCATCAGCTTAGTCTTGAGATGACACACGACCAGGGCAGTGGTGCTGACCGTGTGCTGTTCTCAGCCTCAGTATCCAAGTCCTTCTCATCTGTCTTTTTAGCGTGATTTAGACCAGAGGACAGATAGCTCTGGAAGAGACCCACTTACCGTTTGAAGTCTTTTTGGCAATGAGGTGGGGTCTGTGCAATCATTTGTGTTATATGGAGACTGGGGACTTTGTTTGAAGCCCTCCCCGCAGTGCAGTCAGTTGAAGGTTGGCATGTCCACACTTGCTTTAAAAGTGCTTCTCTAAGCTATAACCAAAGACGGTGACTGGAATAAGGAATCTGATTTGAAAGGTTATTCTTCCTTAAAGGCAAAAAAGCTGCAAACAGCCAAATCTCCTGTCAACAAAATTGGTCAAATGGATTGAATCTAATCAAGGCATAAAGTACTTGTTTGCAATAACCTTATCACTGGCCGTCATGTTTCCCCATTGTTAATATGAAACGGTTTCCTTTCATGCTGCTGTTTTCTAGAAAATGACCTCTTGCTGCAGTCAAGGAATGTGGCTAGTCATTGCCATTTCCTTCATCTGCCTCTTTATAAGTTGTATGCACTTAGGTAGGAAACATAAACACACACATATGTATGCATATGTGTGTATTCTTTGCATTTTTTTGTTGTGGTAAAATACGTATAACACAACATTCACTAATTTAACTATTTTTAGATGTACCATTCAGTGTCATTAAGTACATTCATACATTCACTGTGTTGTGAGACCATCACCACTGTTCATCTCCAGAGTTTTTGCATCTTCCCAAACTGAAACTCTGTATCCATTAAACAGTAACTCTCTATCCCCACCTCCCCCCAGGCCCTGGCAGGCACCTTTCTACTTTCTGTTTCTATGAATTTGCCAACTCTAGGTAGTCATAAGTGGACTCATACCGTATTTGTCTTTTTGTGTTAGGCTTACTTCATGTAGCATGGTGTTTTCAAGGTTCATCCATGTTGTTACATGTATCAAAATTTCATTCCTTTTTAAAGCTAAGTAATACTCTATTGTATACATATTCCACATTTTGTTTATCCATTTTTCTGTCCATGGACATTTGGGTTGTTTCTACCATTTAGCTATTGTGAATAATACTGCTGTGAACATGGGTATATAAGTATCTGAGTCCGTACTTGCGGTTTTGAGGGGATATACCTAGAAGTGCGTTGCTGGATCATATGGTAATTCTGTGTTTAATTTTTTTTCTTTTTAAGTAGGAAGACAAAATGGTCATTTTAGGCAGCAGGGCCACATGTGAGGCCACATGGGCAGCACCTTAGATATTACGTTGTCCATGATGAGACGAGGGGAGGGACAATTTGTTCTCTCCTATGTGGCCACATTGTTTTATTTCTGCCAACAGAACCAAGGCATAGAGAACATTTCATCTTCTAGTTTCTAAAATGGTTGGTAGGTTTGGTTTTATTTATTTATTTGTTTGTTTGTTTATTTATATACAGTATGTACTCTTTTAATTAATTAATTTAGTTATCTATTTTTGGCTGCGCTGAGTCTCATTGGTGCGTGCGGGCTTTCTCTAGTTGCAGCGAGTGGGGGCTACTCTTTGTTGCGGTGCGCAGGTTTCGCATTGTGGTGGCTTCTCTTGTTGCAGAACACGCGCTCTAGGTGCACGGGCCTCAGTAGTTGTAGCTCGCAGGCTCAGTAGTTGTGGCCATGGGCTTAGTTGTTACATGGCACGTGGCATCTTCCTGGACCAGGGATAGAACCTGCGTCCCCTGCATTGGCAGGCAGATTCTTAACCACTGGACCACCAGGGAAGTCCCTGATTTTTTTTTGTTTTTTTTTTTGTTTTTTTTTTGCGGTACGCGGGCCTCTCACTGTTGTGGCCTCTCCTGTTGTGGAACACAGGCTCCGGACGCGCAGGCTCAGCGGCCACGGCTCACGGGCCCAGCCGCTCCGCGGCATGTGGGCTCTTCCCGGACCGGGGCACGAACCCATGTCCCGTGCATCGGCAGGCAGACTCTCAACCACTGCGCCACCAGGGAAGCCCGGGAAGTCCCTGTTTTATTTTATTTTGGATGTTGATCAGGTTGCAGTTACCAGCCGGTTAGCATTTGCAGATCCATTCACTGAGACCCATTAACTGAAAGGAGAGAGGGCCAGGGTGAGGTTAATCTACAGCCACAAACAGGTCTTTGTGGTGGGATCCCTTGTGGAGTTCGGTGTGTTGAAAGCGTGAATGCATGAGCTAAGCAGAAACCTTTAATGAAAACTGTGTTCTGTATGGAGCAGTTGCTGTATAGTGAGCCCTCAGCACACTTCGTTCTGGATAATCCTAGGGAACAGTTGTTTCTCTGCACGGTAAGCGTTAGCTCCAGAGGAGTTTACAGAGTGTAGAACGTGGTTCAGCCTCTAACCAACCATGGTTAACCAGGGTAGACAAGCCCAGTCCCCGGCTTTGGACAGTGTGCAGAGTAGGTCGTTCCTCAGGCTGTCAGAGTCAGATGGAGCGGGTATTTATAAATATTTAAATCTTTTTGTTAAATGACCCAATCATTATGTAAATTTTAAGCAAAAGAAAAATGTAGAGAGACTTCTCTGGTGGTCCGCTGGTAAAGAACCTTCCTTCCAATGCAGGGGACGCAGGTTCGATCCCTGGTCAGGGAACTAGGATCCCACATGCCGCAGGGCAACTAAGCCCACACACCACAACTAGAGAGAAACCTGTGCGCCGCAACAAAGATCCCGCGTGCCTCAACTAAGACCTGATGCAGCCAAAAATAAATTAAATAAATAATAAATAACTCTTTAGGGACTTGCTGGGAGTGCAGTGGTTAAGAATCCACCTGCCAGTGCAGGGGACATGGGTTTGAGCCCTGGTCCAGGAAGATCCCACATGCCGCTGAGCAACTAAGCCCGTGTGTCACAACTACTGAGCCTGTGCAGTAGAGTCCGCAAGCCACAACTACTGAAGCCCGTGCGCCTAGAGCCTGTCCTCTGCAACAAGAGAAGCCAGTGCAATGAGAAGCCCATACACCACAACCAAAAATAAATTAATTAAATAAATTTAAAAAATATATTGGAGGTATTTCTTTCCAGCCATATGCCGAAATGAGTTCAGACTCTATATTTTCTTCAATTTGCATTTCTTACCTAACAGGGTATGAACATTATCTTGTTATATAACAATCTATCACCAATTTTTCTTAAACTAGGTTATTTATTGGAAACCTAATGTAAATCCAGGTATAGTAACAAATGACCCAATGTCTTCAACAGATCAATGGTTGAAAACTTCCCAAATTTGCCAAAAAACATAAACCTACAGATTCAAGAAGCTGAGCTAAACCCAAGCAGGATACACACACACACACACACACACACACACACACACACACACACACACA